GTCAGGGTGATCTGTAGATGATGCCCTCCGGGTAGGTCAGCTTGATTTGGCGGTTCCTCTTGTGGCTCCTCTAGTGCAGGATCTGCTCTCCCTTGATGTCCCTGTTCATCGCCTCCACTCATTCTGGTACTCCTTGGTGATGAGGATGAAGCACTCTGCCCCCCAGGGTTGAAAGGCTGCCATTCTCCACCACTTTGACGTTGCTCTCGTTCTCCTCCTCCTTGAGGTCTGGTAGAAGTCCTTGTCCCGGAAGAAGACTGTCCAGCCAAGCGAGAGACCCTCACTCTACGCGTCGCCGGTTCATTCTCCACCCGGTCCCAATGCATGCGGCATCTTTGGACAACCTTCATGAGCACCATTCCCAGCAACATCATCATGACGCTGAGGAGGTACAAGATCTGGTCACCCTCAACATTCTCATCGACACTCTTGGTGACGTTCTCCGCCATAGCTCCATGCACTTCTTTCAACGCCGACAGTACCACAACAAGCCTCATGGCCTTCTCCAAGTGGTACTTGGCGACCAACTTCATAGCACGAGGCGCGACAATGCCTTTGTCCTCCTCATGTACTTCATCAACTGAGTCGGGCTGCCAGGACATTCCCATCCGTTGTCTTAGTTCGTTGACTCGGGCCACGGGCAAAGCCTTGGCGCCGATGTCCGCAATGAGCTCTCTTCCAGGCTGATACTTCAGTTCCCATTGACCAGATTGGATCCTCCATTTGAGGTGGGCGGCCCGGACCTTCAAGTGTCTTGTACGCCACGCTCCAGTTGCACAACTTGCTATTGAGACTGCAGCAGTGTTGTCGCACTTGAGGAACTTCGGGACGTCCTTCGCCATCTCATCGACCATACATGCGATGCTGTCTCCCACAACCACAGCTTCGATGACCTCGATGAGCTCTGCTTCTGCCGTTGAAAGGGCCGGAAACGGCTGCTTGCAGCTCTTCCATGCCACCGGTGCCCCGGCCACTGTCGTGATCACACATCCATGGCTATGAGCACCTCCCGGAGCAAAGGATGCATCACTCACTGACTCCAGGATGAAGTTGGCGTCTCTGCGGTACCACAAGCCCAGGCCCTGCGTGGCATTCAAGTGCCTGATCAGCTGGTATGCGGTTTGAACCGCCCATTTCGGAGCCCGGCTCGTCGCTGAGCAGATCCGGCTGACCGTGTAGGCAATGTCCGGCCTCGTCTTCGTCGCCAGCCACAAAAGTTCTCCCCCGAGTTGTTGTGCCTCCCGGATCTGCAAGGGTGTGCGATCCAGCTCATCCTCGGGTTCCTGGGATTCCTTCATCATCTGAGCGCTGCAAAGGTCCTCCATGCCATGTCGCCGAACCACTTCCCTCAAGTAGGAACATTGATTGGCAAAGAAGTCTCCTTGTTCAGTTCGGCTCAACTCCATTCCACAGTACCGAACTGGTTCACGATCTCCCACCCACGTAGGTTCGGACGTCTCCCAGGTCCTTCGAAAGCTCTGGAGCCCTCCCTCCACAATCTCTCTCGTGCCGAAGAGCATCACATCATCCACATACACCAAGGCGAGTCCCTCGACCTGATCTCCATCTCCAGCATCCTTCCTGCGCACCAACCACAAGTTCTCCTCCGCGAAGCTCTGCTGGTACTCATAGGTGATGGAGTTCGCTTGAAAGGACATCTGGCTGATCTCGATGTCCCTGTAGTCCCCCC